ACGAAAGCTGACCTTGCAAGCTAACTCCAAAGGCCAAGAGTCCACATCTCAAAGTCCAAACACAGCAGATTCACAATCTGTTATGGACCAACAATACATCAACAACATGCACCACAAGCATACAATATTAAGACAACGCCTTTCCATACGTTTAACGTCTTAAGGCTCCATACCAAGCCATAAGTCCTTAATCACTTGATTCTGACTTAATTTAATTAAAACAGAAGTTCAACTTCATCATTCTAGGGTCCACAAACCCCCAATAGCCTACTGTCCTCACAACACAGCTACTGTTCTTCGAAATCCCAGAATATCTGGATATTCCTAGGGGCCATATCCGGATATCCAGAATCCCATATTCGGATAACTAATATCCGGATACTCAAAACCCATATCCGGATATCATATTCCGGATATTCATCGGGCAGATATCCGGATATTTCACGACAGAATGCAGAAACTGCATTTCGTGAAGATATCCATCAAGGTTGGGTTTTTAACGATTTTAAGCACCTAAACATGCATTTCTAGGTGTGTTCAACATTACCCAACAACAAGCAATCATCTTTTAGCCTTTAGATGCATCAAGGTACCATTTTTAAGTTCAAAGACTCAAGACCAAAGGTGACAAGGCTTACCAAAGCTCAACCAGCCAACAAGAGGTGCTCTTGGAGCTCAAAAGGTCACTCCAAGGTTCTGTCTCTCTCTGCACACGAAAATGGTATACCAAGGTGGTCCTTTTACTCAACAAGAAAGCTCCTTTAAGCCTCAAAACCCAATGAGCAAGGAGGCACTCCACCCAAACCCCAACTCAGAACACAAACAACCCACAAACAGTGGCCAAACCTCAAGCACAGCACCCTCACACCCTCTCAAGATGTTTCCCAAGTGTTTCCCAAGTGTTTCCCAAGTGTTTCCCAAGTGAAAGGACGAAGAAAATCAAGAAAGATCAAGACTTGGTTCAAGAATGGAAGGAAAGTCCAATAGAGCAGTCACCAAGCAGCTGGTCAGCTCCCTCTCAAGTTGGTTTTCTGTTTTCTAGGGCTATGTGCCCATAAAAATGGGTATTTATAGCCCAAACGCACTTAAACACACAATATTAACTTTAATTGCTACACTTAGCATTTTAATCCCAAACTTTGGATTATGAAACTACATAATTTTCTAAGATTTAACATATTGTTCTTATAATTTTCCGAGCACTTTTCCGGTACCCGCTTTTCCAAGCCAGTTCTGGTTTCTAGCACCAGTTCTCATTATCTGGACTTGAAACTCGTTTTACAAGTCCTACATATTATTCTAGTAATTAACATGCACTTACTTTAATTTTTCGGGACACTTTTTCGGTACTCATTTATACCGACTAGCAGAACCGGTATCTGCACTTTTCTTCCGAAAAGCGACTTTCAACATTATTACTCACTTACTATAATTATTAAAGCCTCATAATAATTATTAGGGTCAATTATGGAATCATTTCCTAATTTTGCATAATTTATTAATTAAATTCCGTAATTAATGGTGCGGGTTCTTATAGCAAGGCGGGGCAGACAGACTCATTTTTTAGCAGATTAGTGGCGGGGCGGGCTGCCCATTTTTCCACCTCTATGCACTATTATGGAAGTGTAGCACCAAAGCGCTAGTTTCACTCTGCAATGCACAGACATGCGATTGTTTTAAAAAAATTCGTGTTGGACACCGACACGCTCTAACACGCGTACGACACGTGGTCAATATTTTAGGGTACGTGGTCAATGCTCCGACACGTTTCGACACGCAGTTAACTTTTTCCGACATGCATCCGACACTTTTTTTGTTTAGAACTAAATTTTATTTTATTAACTAAACATAAAAAAATAATTTATAAATCAATTTTTTTCTGTTATGAAATTTGACATGAAAAATTAACAAGGTACGATTTTTTATTTATTTATTTATTTATGTGATAAAATTTGAATATTTGATTGGTTATATTACTTATTATGGGCTGTTATATGTATTAAATATAAATTATATGATATATATTAAAAATATTATTTAATATCAAAACGTATCCCAACGTGTCAGAATATGACATTTTTTAGAATTAACGTGTTGGCGTGTCTGTGGTATCGTGTCCCGTGTCAGTGTCGCTGCAACATAAGTTTAACTAATGCTTGAGCGCTAGGGGCAATTAAATTGTATATAAATAGGGAAATTTAGTCTAGGAAGAGATCTTTCACCTTTTCGGCATGTTTGGTGTATAGTATAAGATAAAACCTGATAGTATAAGGCCTGATTGTATAAGACCTTATTAGTATATTGAAAAATTGTTTTTTATTAATTCTTGAGAATTGCACCAATTAGCGATGTTTATACTTTAATCCCTTATCAAGCCTAATCCCACCTCTTTAGGCTTGATTAAGTTATACATAATTTTGATGAATTAAGAGACACTGTTATATAAGCTTATACTATACGATGGTCATACCAAACAATTAAAAATGCCATAACGTATAGTATAAGCTTATATTATCAAGTCTTATACATCATACCAAATAGGCCCTTATACTTTTACAAAATTATTCATCTTTTTTGGAGAAATAAAAATTCAAGGAGAAACCAGAGACCAATTGGATTAGAGGAGGAGATCAAAAAGTTAGGATACCAAAAAAAAAAAAAAAGAGAGGAGGAGATCAAAATGTAAAGACATTCTTTCCAAATTTTATCCGTACAACTTTTCTCATTTCATCATTTGTCTTTTTTTCGAGGTGACAATCTAGATTCTTTGAATTGGGAATAAATATAATCTAATTGAATTTTGTTATGAATTGATTTTTATCTCAAAATTCTGGTTAAATTTGTCAAATTTTGTTGCATGACTCAATGTAAATGATGGTGATTGAGGAAGTGTGTTATCTGTCTACAATTCAAGTTCGAATATTGAGCCAGCAAGTGGGGAATTAAGTTTCGGCAAGAGTAAACATCTTTTTTGGTCCCTAACAAAAAACAGGGTCCCCACTTTAGTACTTTATAAAAATAAATTAGTCAGTTAGTCCCTAACAAATTCAAAGTGAACCCATTTTAGTCTTTTTGATGGACTAATATGGGTCTTTTTTGAATTTGTAAGGGACCACGATTTCAACTAAATGGGTCAACTTTGAATTTGTTAGAGACTAACTGACTAATTTATTTTTGTAAGGGACTAAAGTAAGAACCATATTTTTTGTTAGGGACCGAAAATAATATTTACAATAGGGCATATGCCTGTAATATCCGACATGGAGGATCTTATTCTCGAAATGCAGTAGTTGGCTGGCAAGAAATACGTACACTTATTGGAAAACATTTTATATATTAAAATCATCGGCGTTCACGTAACGTGCTAGAACGTAACAGTTTTAGGAGAATAATCGACCCACGTACCCTACTTATAAACAATCACTTATAGAAAATAAACGTTCAAATGCATATATGGGTGATCATAATCTCATTTTCCTTTTGTTTACAATAAATTAATTTCCATTCAACGAACTTATCCCAACATAAGTCATAATTACATACTTTTTACCGCATTAAATTTTTTGATATAATTCTTCTATCCCAACACGTTCATTTATCTATGTTAATCAAGTTGAATTTAATATATATGAGAAGATGAGATACAAGACTTGTTGTACAAGGATTCTAATTTTATCACCAATACATTTTTATCATATCTTTGTAAAATGTGTTTCTAACAATATTTTATATACTTTATAAGAGAACATTAAATATATTTAAAAATAAAAAATAAATTTAATATTTCTTTATTTATTAATTATAAGAAATATTTAAAAAGATTTAAAATTATGACGCTTCAGAGGAGAGAAATTACGCGTGAATTACTATAAGAAATGAAGCTTCGAAGGAGAGAAATTACCTGGGAATCAGTATAAGAAATGATGCTTCGGATGAGAGAAATTACGTGGGAATTACTACTTTGACGTAGCAGCCTTAATTGAATCCATGACTTATTAATTCACTTAAATCTGTTTCACACTACTTATTTGATTGAACCCAAGCACCCATGACTTCTAATTCACTCTCACTGTTAACGGGTCTCCATGCTTATGTTTGAATTGATTTAAAAATTAGAGTAAACATCCTTAACAAAAAATACAATATCCATTTTAGTCCCATAAAAAAATTATTAGTCTCGAGGTCCCTAAAAAATTCAAAGTAGACCTATTTAGTTGAAATCGTAGTCCCTTATAAATTCAAAAAAAATCATATTAGTCTCATAAATGGACTAAAATGGATCCACTTTGAATTTTATAAAGACCAGTTAACTAATTTTTTTTTGTAAGGTGCTAAAGTGAGGACTGTATTTTTTGTTAAGGACCCAAAATGAGCTTTACTCTAAAAATTAAAAAGAAGTGAACTAAATTAAAATGATATTAATTATTATTATTTAGATTATTTAAAGTAAAACAGAATGAAATATAATTTAATAGAAAGTGTTTTATTTTATTTAATGGAATATATATGTATTTTCTTCTTAGTTTAGAAAATGAGATGGAATCAATTTATTTCTCACTAATTTATGTATTACCTATTTTTTAAAATATTAGAAATAAAACTTTACCTTATTTTTTAAATGACTCTTGGATAAATAATAGAAATAAGTAATTTTTATAAATGATGGTATCCAAATAATTTGGCATTTGGATAAATGACTCTTCTGACTGGATAAAAAACGTGAATAATTACTATAGTAGAAATGTCATGTCAAAGATATGAATCTTCGATTACTTGACGTACCAGCGTTACTTTTTGAATCATGATGATAAATTAAATCCATAAAAACAATTTAAAGGTCAATCTTCCAGAGTCGGAACAAAGGGCCAAATGAAGAAAATGTCATGTGGGGTCTCAACGTGCATGACTCATCCTGTATTAGAATGACACATTTTGCTCCATATTCATATATATATATGTCCGGATCTAAGGTAACAAAGTATCATAAAATCCTGAATTCAATGGACATTCTTACTTCCATGATTATAATTGCCTATGCATTTGTTCCCTTATTCAAAGTTTCCATAGCAGCTGACTCTATTGGTTTGTCACAGTCTATCAGCAATGGCAATACCTTAGTGTCACAAGGTGGAACATTTGAACTTGGTTTCTTCACCAAGTCAAATAAAAGCTACTTGGGTATTTGGTACAAGAATATCCGAATTCAGAAAGTTGTTTGGGTTGCAAACAGGGTCAACCCCATCAATGGTTCAAATGCCACCTTAACACTCAACAGCACAGGCAATCTTGTCCTTAGTCAAAATGGGTCTGTGGTTTGGTACACAACACCTCAAAAGCAAGCACACAATCCAGTGGCGGTGCTCTTGGACACTGGGAATCTTGTGCTAAGAAATGAAGGAGAATCAAACCCTGAGGACTATTTGTGGCAAAGCTTTGATTATCCTTCAGATACATTATTGCCAGGGATGAAGTTGGGAAGGAACCTAAGACTTGGTCTTGATTGGACACTAACAACATGGAAGAGTCCAGATGATCCATCCCCTGGAGATGTTTCTGAAGGTTTAGTTCTTCATAATTATCCTGAGTTTTATACAATGAAGGGAACAGAAAAGTTCTTCAGGTATGGACCATGGAATGGGATAGAAATTAGTGGAATACCAGGATCACCATCCACCACCATATTGGATTTCACTTTTGTCACCAATAATGATGAGATCTACTACACTTACAGCTTCAACAACAACTCTGTCATTTCAATACTGGTATTAAACCAAACCAGTACTGTTCGCTATGTATGGGATGATCAAGACCAAAATTGGAGGATTTATACATTAGACCCCAAAGACTTTTGTGACACTTATGGTCTATGTGGAGCCTACGGGAATTGCATGATTACTCAACTACCAGTGTGCCAATGCTTCAATGGGTTCAGTCCAAAGTCACCACAAGCATGGATCTCATCAGATTGGAGTCAAGGATGTGTCCGCAATAAACCATTGAGCTGCAATGACACATACACGGATGATGGGTTTGTCAAATTTGAAGGCCTGAAAGTTCCAGACACTACATATACTTGGTTAAATGAAAGTATGGGTCTAGAGGAATGCAGAGTGAAGTGCTTGAATAATTGCTCTTGCATGGCTTATACAAATTCAAATATAAGTGGAGCTGGTAGTGGTTGTGTCATGTGGTTTGGTGATCTAATTGACATGAGACAGTTTCAAGAGGGAGGGGAAGATCTTTATGTCCGGATGTCAGCTTCAGATATAGGTAAAGGCTTTATTTTATTAACATTGGTCAATAATATTTTAATCAATTTCAGTTTTGAAAGGTCAATCCTTGGATTGTATTTAACTTTTATCTCTCTCTCTCTCTTGTTTTTTTTTTTGTTTTTTTAAAAAAAGTCAACAATGAAGAGCTTGAAGATAGGAGCAAAAAGAACACGAGAAGCATCGTTGCTGCCACCATTGTTTCAATTTGTGGAGTACTTTTACTATGTATTTACTTTATCTGGAGAATCCGGAAGAAGATTGCTGGTAAAATTATTCTTCACTCACACTTTTATTAAATTGATGGCCACAATTTTGAATATATAACTTTTTAAAGAACAATAGTACTGTTAATTATTCAGTACTTTACAGTTAGGTTTGGTATTTAAATAGATATGAATACATTTTTGCTTAATCCGACCTTACCTGACACCTTTATAAAACATGCACCCTATATCTGTGTTATCTCAGACTTTATGGATTTTTTAAATTAAATTTAAGTATTAGAAAAGGGTTTAGTGTGTGTCAAGGACACAAGTTCTGTCCTTTTAGTGATTTACACAAAGTATAATCAGTCGTATTTTGTGTAATTCTGAAAACTTATTTTTTATTCACTTTACACGTCAGCGATGTGACTTGGGAGAAAGAAAAAAAAAAACTTTTCAATTTTACACAAAATACGACCGATCGTACTTTGTGTAAAACACCTAAAATGACACAAGCTTGTGTCATTCAAAAAGATACTTCTTTCTCCCATTAAAAAATGATAATTCAAAATTATATTCATCATCCCAGTGAAGATATTTTAGTTGACTTTATAGGACAAAAGATAAAAATCTTATAATTGACTTTTTTAATAACTAAACTAATGATGGTATATGTGGGAATGAAAAAATTATTCTGGGAGAGTCACTTTCTATATGGGTTTGACTAGCTTAAATCCGATTACTGGGCATTTGATAAATCGGTGAGAAAAAAAATGGCATTTATTTAGATAACAAATGTTGGGGGGAAAAAAATGATGGTAGCCGTTTGGTACGAGGTATTTTTTAGGATTCTCGAGAAACTAAGAATGGTAATCATATTTATACACGTTTGATACAAGTTTTTTAAAAAAAATTCGGGGGAATTCGATTTTCCCCCAGATTTTATTTTGAGTGTAATTTTTTTTTGAAAATATCATCCAGGGGTGGTATTCTAAGATTTCTATGACAAAGAAAAATTTAATACAACTAAACATAGCATTAAAAAAATTAACCCAATATTTTCGGAAATATTTTAGTCTATCAAACACCTTTTTGGTAATATTCTCAGAAAACTCATATTCTCATCATATTCCTGAAAATCGTGATTCCGGGATAAAAAAAAATAATTTCTTCTACCAAATGCCCCAGAGGATTTTGGTATTACGGGAATATCTACCCCTTTACTAAAAATAGAAAAGAGTGGGATATAGGTGAGAATAATCATAAAAGAATGTGTAAAATGGTAAAAGTCATTTACACTATTTTCCCAATTTAGTAAAAAATATACTAAGGGGGCGTTTAGTAAAGTAGATTTTTATCCGAGAATCATAAATTTTGAAAATATAGTGGGAATAATATAGGTGAGAATAATCATAAAAGAATGTGTAAAATGGTAAAAGTTATTTACACTATTTTCCCAATTTAGTAAAAAATATACTAAGGGGGTTTGGTAGAGTAGATTTTTATCCGGGAATCATAAATTTTGAAAATATAGTGGAAATAAATTTTTACTGGAATGTCACTAAAAAGTTGTTTGGTAGGCTCACATTTCGCTAGGAATATTTGGTTAATTTTGAATTTGTGTTGGTTGATTGTGAAATTTTGGTGGAAATATGAGGTTGTTTTACAATGATACCCTTTTCAATAATCTTATTTCAACATTTATTTGCCCTCAACTCTCTCTCTCTCCCTCCCCCTCTCTCTCTCTCTCATCAGCTCCTTTCACTGTGTGTGTGGTTTGTAAACCTGCAAGAAAATCGTAGAGGTAATATTAATCAGCACCTTAACAACGAAGATAAGCAAGAAAATCGAACTGCAAGAAAACGTACAAAGTTAATATTCATTAGCAGCTGAACAACGATGATAAGCAAGAAAATGGAAAACCAAGGTGACCTGCAAGCTTTGATGGAGGGAGAAGCTCGGGTAGGTTTTGGTACCAAATATTTGTGAAGACAACTTCTCCAATCGTACAAAACAGAGGGTTAATCTCGTCCATTTAATCATTGATTATTTCTTAGTTCCCCGGGGAAGCCATTTTTCCAAGTAAACCATGGAATTTGAGAGATGGTGTTGGTCCTTCACTTTGCACACAACAAAGAAATCCGGGAAAAAAATTTCACGGGAAATTTTTTAATTTTTGGGCAACCAAACGTGGGTTTTATGTTTTCCCTATTATACTTTCCAAGGCATTCATAAATAACGTGTATACCAAACACTACCTAAAAACTTTCAGTACTACATGAGCATAGAAGAAAATTTTCAGGGTTAGATATTTTCGGGTGTAGCGCGAAAATCACAAATCTAATAACACTTTATTTTAGGTCAAGTAGCATCTTACTTAACATGTAACTGTATTTCATCGATAAATGATCTAAAGTTTAATATCATGCTACAATTTGAATAAAATGATATCACATTCTATATTTTCTTCTTCATCTCACATATTTTACCCATTTTCATTTCCCCTTCATGGTTTTCTCCATTTTGTAGTGAGATCTCAAAGGCAATTGAATGATCTAGATCTGCCATTGTTTGATCTACCAACAGTTGCTGCTGCCACTAATGACTTCTCAATGAACAAAAAGATCGGAGAAGGTGGTTTTGGACCTGTATATAGGGTAATTAAATATTTTACTGGTATTATTAGGAGAGATAGACAAATAGTGAAAGTATTAATATTATGTAAGAGAAAAGTTAGAGACATATCAACTCTCTCTTTATTATAGACTGAAATCTAATATTAACCCAATTTTATAATCAGGCCCCATTCTCTACTAGTAAGGTTAGCATTAACAAGGAATGTAAAAAAAAGTGTGTTGCTAACAATTCTCTATTATGCAACGCATTTTACTGATCAATGTAATCATACAGGGAAAATTATTGGATGGTCGAGAAATTGCTGTCAAGAGACTTTCAAGCTTATCAAAACAAGGAATGACCGAGTTCATAAATGAAGTGAAACTAATTGTAAAACTTCAGCATCGTAATCTTGTAAAGCTTCTTGGCTGTTGCATTCACGGACAAGAACTGATGCTGATTTATGAATACATGGCTAACAGTAGCCTAGACTCCTTCATTTTCGGTATGAAATATCAAGAAAGCTTAAATTTAGTCGCACTAATGCATTATCACACTTTTGATATAATAAGCTTACTAAAGTTGAATATTGATTACTCAACACCATATTTGCTTTGAATTAAACAGCTGATACCAAGGGTAAAGTGCTAGAGTGGCCTCAACGGTTCAACATAATTTGTGGAATTGCTAGGGGCCTCGTGTATCTTCACCAAGACTCACGATTGAGGATTATCCATAGAGATCTCAAAGCAAGTAATGTGTTACTTGATGATAGTTTGAATCCCAAAATATCAGATTTTGGAATGGCAAAAACTTTTGGAGGAGACCAGACCGAAGGAAACACAAATAGAGTAGTTGGAACTTAGTGAGTTTCTCCTAATCAAGCACCTTTATATATCTATATACACACACATATACATGTGACTGATTTTTGCTTTAATGAATTGTTGCAGCGGGTACATGGCACCAGAGTATGCTGTTGATGGGTTGTTTTCAGTGAAATCTGATGTCTTTAGTTTTGGTATTTTATTGTTGGAGGTTATTAGTGGCAGGAGAAATAGAGCATATTACCACATGGATGACAATCTTAACCTTGTTGGCTATGTAAGAACTTGAATAAAATTTTCAATTTATGCATGTCATATCAAAATATAACGAATAACTATATTTCTTTTGATGATTCAGGCATGGACATTGTGGAAAGAGGACAGACCTTTAGATTTGATTGATATAAAGATAGGGAACTCTTGTGATGTATCAGAAGTATTGCGTTGCATACATGTTAGTCTCTTGTGCGTGCAACAGTACCCTGAAGATAGGCCTACAATGGCCTCTGTGATTCTAATGTTGGGGAGTGAGATGGAATTGGTTGAGCCTAAAATGCCTGGTTCCATTTCGAGGAATGTTTCAATGGAAACATATGTACGCTCATGCTCGACCAACGAAATAACCATTACCTTATTAGAGGCTCGATGATACTCATTGGTACTCTACATTAAATATAAATGTATGTAACTACATTCAATACGAAAGGATTAGGCTTTCAAAATTGGTTTTGTAGCTTAATATATTAAGGAAATTTGATCATATGTATTTTGAAAAAGTGTGATGCTTGGGATTTTGAATGAACATATTGTTCTGCAATAAGAAATTCATAATAGAGACATTTCAATTGTTTGTATCTTTGTCGGGGGGAAATATGAATGACAATCTTTGTGATGCTAGCAACAACCTCCACAATTGCAAAAAAAAAATATATGTTTGAACTTAACTACTGAATCGTAGAGAGTTCATAAATGTATACTATGGAGGATATAATATGTTGATGTAGGGGTGTTTTTAATAACCAAGATAGTAACCATGACTCCATGGGAGCTTCCCAGGTGGTGCTGTGTGTAAAATAGTGGGGGAGGGTTGTGTCTATTGCTATGGTAGTTGTAACGCTCCGTCTGCTGCCGGTTAATTAACATTCATATGATAGTAAGCGTAGCATGCTCAACTTAATTAATGCGGAAGCTAACTAAATAATTTTCTCTTTTTCCTTATGTATTGCAAACTTTTTCACTTCCATGGCTAAAATAAAACGGACAGCATTTCCTCTGTATTTTGGACCTCTGGGGATAATTTGTAGGGGTGTTTTTAATAACCAAGATAGTAACCATGACTCCATGGGAGCTTCCCAGGTGGTGCTGTGTGTAAAATAGTGGGGGAGGGTTGTGTCTATTGCTATGGTAGTTATAACGCCCCGTCTGCAGCCGGTTAATTAACATTCATATGATAGTAAGTGCAGCATACTCAACTTAATTAATGCGGAAGCTAACTAAATAATTTTCTCTTTTTCCTTATGTATTGCAAACTTTTTCACTTCCATGGCTAAAATAAAACGGACAGCATTTCCCCTGTATTTTGGACCTCTGGGGATAATTTCCACTATGATAATTTCAACCTGATTGACAGTTTAATATAACTCAGGCATACCACAACATAGATAAAACATATTGCCCAGCCATCCATGGCCTAGGCTATCTCATAATCATACTGTCTCAAAATAATGTCCATGATGTTACTTATATAATTACATCAAATAAACAAAAGAGATGCAATTAAATAAGTAACATAGACCTAAGCATGCATCACTAATAGCATATACAGACTATCAACATGGCATAGACATCTCGTATGCTCTCAAAAAAATACATGGCACATACAACCCAAAATAAAGTATGTCAGGTACAAATCTAAATATCCGTAAGACCCTGACAATCATGTCAAGTAGTATCTCTCATCTGGCCTCTCGCCACGCGATGCCTCACACTATCAGCTCCTGTACCTGAAATGGTAATCCCCATAACGCGGGGTGAGATAATATAATTACTTCATTAAGATAGGGACCCTTGGAGGGCTCCTCCACCCCTAAGCTCACTTCTGGTATAATCACAGTATAAAAATCTATGCATGCATCAGAATATGTATGGCAATGCAGTGTGCAATAATGTAATCCTACTGGCCAGAGAATGTAACAAGTATGCATTACGCAAGGAAACACCGTCTTGCAACATACCGTATGAGGAAACACCGTCTCATACTATGTGTAAGGAAACACCGTCTTATGCCTCACACAAGGAAACACTCTCTTGTGTGGCACACAAACATACATACATATACATGCAACATATAACAAATCATTTTCAACATACCATATCAAACTACCAACCTCCCTCGGAGTTTGGTGGAACAAACGGGGGATTAGCCCCAATGGATCGAAAGCTTACCTGGCAAGCAATGTCCTCCACTAATTCTCGTGTCCACAGTGTCACGATCTTTCACAAAGTCACAACCTAATTCCAAGATGTGAAGACAATCAGTATTTGTAACATCCCGAGCGCTGACGAGGGCGGGGAGTGATCGCCGGTGCAAAGAGGCATAGACAAGGAGCGGCTCCTGACAGGCTTCCAACGGGGGGTTACATGCATGAATGAATTGAATCGACACCCGAAAGAGAAGGATTCCAAAGACTGTGCAGGAATGAGACTGCACTGTTTGGGATAGCTTATAAGAATTAATTGGTACTACCTATACTAAAAAGATGCATCTACTTTTTGGTAGCCTGGAACGGAAGAACTCCATAGTTAAGTGTGCTTGACTTGGAGCAATTCTGGGATGGGTGACCTCCTGGGAAGTTTTTCCAGGAAGTGTGAGAATGAGGAAAAAGCACACTGAAAAGTCTCGTGTTAGTATGTGGGGATAGTCATTGATTCTTGAAGTGGTCGGGCGTTACAAGTGGTATCAGAGCAAGGCCTCTCTTCCAGTACGGTGTGGTTCGAGGACGAACCAGGCGGAAGCTGGTGGGCATGTAACATCCTGAGCGCTGACGAGGGCGGGGAGTGATCGCCGGTGCAAAGAGGCATGGACAAGGAGCGGCTCCTGATAGGCTTCCAGCGGGGGGTTACATGCATGAATGAATCGAATCGACACCCGAAAGAGAGGGATTTCAAAGACTGTGCAGGAATGAGACTGCACAGTTTGGGATAACTTATAAGAATTAATTTGTACTACCTATACTAACAAGATGCATCTACTTTTCGGTAGCCTGGAACGGAAGAACTCCATAGTTAAGTGTGCTTGACTTGGAGCAATTTTGGGATGGGTGACCTCCTGGGAAGTTTTTCCAGGAAGTGTGCGAGTGAGGAAAAAGCACACTAAAAAGTCTCGTGTTAGTATGTGGGGATAGTCATTGATTCTTGAAGTGGTCGGGCGTTACAGTATTCCTATATACCAGTCTACCACGTTAAATTTTCATGACTACACCTACAAGAAATCTACACTTGATTTTTAGTCCAATTTATCAAAGTGTCCTAAATGGCGATTTCATAATTTTTCCTTTTACGGGAACTAATCCTAAGCATGTTTAACAAAGGGACTCATGTAAAAATCACTCTTTAACTATCCATACCACGACTTACCTTAATATGAAAATTTCAAAAATCTCAAACTCAAGCGAATGTGGATTCCAATCCGTGGAATTTGCTCAAAACAACGTTGGGATCAACTCTACAACATGAAACAATAACAACCAATCACTATTAATCTCCTAAAATATCAATTTTCGGATGGTCACTATTCATCATCACCCTAAATTCAAAATTTCAAGAAAATGGAGTTTAAGAGTTGGAAACTCACCGCACAACACCCTAAAACGATGGGAGCAACTCCTTTCAAGCTTCCATGGAGTGGGAACCTCTCAAACAACCCAAACACAACCCACGAAATCTTTGGATCAAGATATCTCTCTCCACAATAAACCCCAACCGAAAATGAGTTATGATTTAGAAAGAGGAGAAGAATTGAAGCGGTTTTGGCTTTGGAATGGATGCATTTCGTTGAGAAATGAGAGAGTTATGATTTTTTGAAAAATCACAACCTCTTGTGCCATGGAAATGAGCTTCTGTCGACGACGAAGAAAAATGAGGAGAAGGAGAGTGTTGTTTGTACTTAAGTGATGTTGTTTTACCCAATGGGTGTAAACTTATCTATCCTGCTCACTAAACTCTCATTCCAACGTTGCACACTAGTCCAGAATATTTTTATGGTAATATTTATAATTTTACTTTTCACTTTAGGGTAACTTTATTTACCCGCATTTTTACCCCTTAACTGTCATTTTAACTCATTTTTCACCAAAGTTGACTTTATTTCTTTTTCTTCTACTTTTCTTATAATTATTCCTCAATAACATGATTAAAATTATTAAATCCATACTACTTATGGGGGTTATTATAGTAGTGACAGCTCATAAGATGAATAATAAGAAGATAAGATCCCCTCTTCAGCAGGGGAAGATGTAATATATAGAGGAGAGCTGTTTTCCCTAAGTCAGTGTAAGGGTATGAAGGGCCCTTCTAGAATGTTTTAGAAGTGGGCTATATGTTGGGCTTGACTTGTTGGGCCTATATAGTAGCCGGCCAGAATAGAACCCAGCTTGGTGGCCTTAGCGTGCCAAGGTGTAAGAGAATTTAAGGCTGCCGTCCATAGTTCGTGTAACATCCCGTTCTAGAATCGATTTGTTGACATCATATATGATATTAAGTGCAGTTATAATCACAGTAGTAAAATTAAAATACGGCAAAACTTTTTCTTTTTAACCTTGGATGTTTTCCTGTTAAAACCATTTCCCCATTTACACAAAACGACATTGTAATTATAACTGAAACATAATGCGAAATAATAGAATATTACTTATTCATATCATACATGTAACACCCTGTTCTAGAACCGGTTGATTAACATTACGTATGATATTAAGCGCAGTTACAATCACGTTGGTTCAATTAAAAATACAGATAAACTTTTTCTTTTTAAAACATAGTTCAATTCCTTGAAACAATAATGTATTTAAAATAGTCAAAACAATAATAGTAACTGATACATGATGCAGAAGACTTATACTTTACTTAAATATGTTATACATTCCTTGTGATTCTAACCATGATGTTCCCATAAACAAACATGGCACAAAACTTATCTTTCTTCATGTTTAACACTGAATGTGCTTCACGTCTTCTAATACTGCAACTAATCCCCTTAACTATTAACTATAATATTTTAGTATGTGAAAATAGATATCTAGGGATTTCTGAAAAGTATAACATTAACTATAATAACCCTCACTAGTAGTTGTGGATTTAATATTGACGAATAATTAGAAGTAAAAGAAATAAAGTCATTTTTTGTGAAAAAGAAGTTAAAATGACAGTTAAGAGATAAAAATACGGGTAAATAAAGTTATCCAAAAAGTGAAAATAAAAATAGAAACGTGACTAGAAAAATATTCTAGTCTATTGGGTAAAGTTTGGTAATGAATAGAGGTGTGTAGATAGATAAGCTTATACTCGCTGGTATAATGAACTAATTTAAGTGACTCAAGGGAGTCACTATTCCCATTCTTCTTCGAAAAATCGACGACAGAGAGACAGAAA